TTCTTGGATTGCTTCCGTATTTTTTAAATTAACCGTTGGTTACAGACCACCGTAGAGTAAGTCGGGATGTACAATTTTGGCGGTCGACCTTTTCTAATCCCTACATGTCTCCAGAGTGGAGACAGTATAACTGGCTGGAGTGCCAGTCATCTGAGGGAAACAGCAGTACGACTTCACCCACAGACACCCAGCATCGTGTAGAAAGAAATCTTACACTATACTGGTAACTGCTTTTAGTCTAATCGCTATGCTAACAGCCTTCCTGGAATGGTAAGACCTGCAGGGACAATAGCTCCAGCCAGTGTAGCTTGTTGGATCATTGCGATATGCAAGCCCGGTGACCACCACGTCAAGGTAGCAGCAGCTTTCGGTCGGTGATCTTTAGGTCATTGATAGCTACTGGACAGATGTCCTGGAGTTGTACTGCGAAGTCATGACCAGAGGAGTCCACCGTGTTTCCAGCTGGCTCAAGCGATTGAGAATCATAAACAAGCTTGTTCTCATAACCTGAATATCCCGAATCCGATACCTGACGCGGAGTCGGGTCGTGGACGCACTCTGTTGCTGAAGAGTCCCAAAATAGGACGAAACAACCACTAGCAATTCAGTAATTCTTGGTGATATTCAATGATCTCTCACCAACTCTACTGATGTGTTGGTTCATCACGAAATTTAACAATTACCATTAAAATAAGAAAAAAAACAATAATTTTCAAACAAATAATTAGATGTCAAAACAAAACGAAAAACAAAAAAATCAATATAAATAACTAGCTAGCTAGCTAACTAACTAACTTTAAAACTCTGAGTAGAATTCATAAGAACACAAATTTTATTTATTAATTGAATCAATAATATATATATTATTTAAGATCAATACAGCTTTAAACTTTTTATGAGTCGATATGAATATTTATTTAAACTGAAAATTCCTGTGTCAATGAGTTGTATTCACATCAAGTGTTAGAAAACCACTGGAAAACCTGATAGGGAGTAACTGCACAGCTGTTTGTTTCACCCTAACTTGAGACTCTACATCAGTAACCACAATCCCACTAGGCTTCGAAACCAGAAGCTTAAGGGGTTACAAGACGAGCGCTGTAGACCATTCTCAGCCACTGGATCTCAACCGAATGAGACTTATGGATTCCACCTTCGGCCGACTCGTGATATACAGCACAACCCGAAAGAAGAATGAATGAATAATCCGAACTATCTAATTGAATTTTAGATTTTCCCATCAATTGATTGGACCGAAGTGCTCGGCCCCAGGTTGACATGTCGGCTTCTTGTGCAGATGCTTCGACGATGTCTGCTGGGCATGTAAAAAGAACTTAATTGGTGGATGGTGACCAGCAGCGAAATCCAGGACAGCGCGCATTTCATCCTATTTGGGTCTTTTGGATAACGCTTTGGCGTTTGAAACTACGGGCACTGGGTTCGAGCCTCGATGGGAACATCATCACTCTCACTGGGGAATGCAGGTACGTCCATCCGATGACGAGTCCCAAATAGGACGAAATGCACATCCTGACTGGATTCCGCTGCTAGTCACCATCCACCAATTAAAATCACAACTATCAATTTAAAGGCATTAGGGGTGGGGGTGGGAAATAACCTGCCTTCTGCAGCAATATGTTAGAAGAATTCAACGAGTGAAGGTGTTAGAGTTGTAAACCATTTTCCCTCGTGCTCGAGAACATATCCCACTATGGCTAAGTAAAGATGTAGTTAAAACTATTGACAGCTCGATATTAGACCATCTGGTGCAAACCGGTCACAAAGCCAGCGTAGAAGAATCCTTTCCCATAATATACCGGATGCCTAACAAACTACCAAAATCGTCGAAGCACCGCTTACTCCAAACAGCAGAAGCTATCGGAATTCGTCTGAAACAACCAGTGCTCTGTGTCCAAAAGAAGCAAGTCCAGCTAGCCACTACTACTGCCCTGATCAACCTTCAGTAGAGACTATAAATTCATGAATTTGTACTACTATCTTTAATAATTCTTCTGACATTCAGCTTATTTTATGTTGATGCTATTGAGCTGTAATCTATCAATATTATTATTGTGTGGCGCATCTTTCTTGGTGCCATATTGTACCAAGTTTTCCTGCGTTTAAATAAAATAAGATATGATAATATTGACTCGATGTTATTTAAACATTAATGTCGTTCATAAGACTAATTCATTCATTCATTATAATGTATATATAATTGTAGAACCTGATGATGAATTTATCGAAAAGAGTACTCTTTGTTCCGTGTCTATTCTTTTGAATATAACTTACAGTTCACATTTCAATCATAATACTCAAGTGTTACTGAACAACCAATCGCACAATCCCATGCACAGTTGGTAGCAAGTCACACACCTATTAAGCGTGAGGGCTATTGTGATTCTACTATCAAGCTGCTCAAACTCCGCTCGGTAAGTTGAGATAGGGGAGAGGTCCGGACTCGTGATCCCTCTCCCCCAGTTGGTTGGGAATTCAGTAACTAGACATCAATGAGACACAGCTCCACTGGGAGTACCAGAAGCAGTAGTACTACTACTATAATACCACTTCAGTTCATACTATGCAAAACATGTTTTGAGAACAGTTTGCTGCCTAGATTATTAATTAATCAATAAAGCCACTCCAAAATACATCTGTAACCTTTTTCTTTATTACTTATCACACTTAATCGGTTACCACTAACAATCATAGATTGTAAAACGACCAATAACATGGTGTATTCATTAAGCAGGATTTAATGAATTCATGAAATTTCGAAAGAACCCCTACTCTTCAACTGAATACTTTAACATACAGTGTTAGATATATATATATATATATATATATACCATGAGAAATATATGGGGATATATAAATATATATATGACACAAAATGATTGAGCAAAGAATATCCTTTTCGATAAATTCCTCCTCTTCTCGCTCTACAATTATAACTACATATGCATGTTTACATATATAGAATATTCAAAGAATAGTAGTCAACAACAATATTAGTGTGTTTTTTAAATAATATCGATTTGTAAAGTAAGATCACAATGGAATTACAGTTGATTAAAGATGCACAAATTATAATAATAATAATATAATAGTAAATAGAATATCAACTAAAATTAAGGAGATTTCCAACCTAGATGGCCAAGGTAAGTAAGGACAATGTCTGAACTAGCTTCTTTCGGACACATAAATTAGACTTCTTAGTGTGGATCCCAACAGCCAGTCTCAGCAATACTTAGTAAACGAACTCTTAGGACGAAGTTAAGATTAGTTGGTTGGTATGCGGTAAATGACTTTGAAAGCCACCTCGTTGACATCAATCTTGTGTTCTGTCTGTATCTACAAGATCAGTGAGATAGAATAGCGCTGTGAATAGATTTTGTTTGTCCTTTACTTAACCACTACTAAGCAGGGTGATGTTCAGAAATCCGAGGAGAAACACTTTACTGAAGGAATTATCAAAAAAGATATTCTTTGCTTAATCATTTTGTGTTTTATAGATGTTTGAATGAATATTTTTGCCGTATATATATATATATATATGCAAAACGATAAGATGTGAATGTTTTACAGGTTCTATTCAGATAGACACGGGGGGGGGGGAACTGGTGTGAGAGATTTTTAAAAATAATAAAGATCATAACAGATAATGGTTAGGACATGTGCTGCCCTTGCCTAGCCATGGCCTTCTTCAACAGGCAATGTTACTTGAATGACATAGGATGGATCAATTTGGAAAAGAGAAAGCTAGTGGTGGTTTTAATGGTGGCCAAACCAAAACATAGCTTCATCAGTCAATGAAATCCACAACAGTTAATTTAAGCCAGCAAGCCAACCAGCCAGTCACGTAGGGAGGTGTCGACTGGCCGGCTAGCGTCTTCGGGAAGGATGGTAAGAACCAAGGAAGGCTGGAGACAATTAATTAGTGGTGATATGGCTCAAAGTGTTCGTCGTCAATGACTGGCCTGGTACAGATGCATTCACCCTTTGTAATTTATAATTATCCAGTAAAAATCCTGTTGTTCTTCCATATCACTACTACTCTTCTTCGCTCACTTACACTTCTGTTTATTACCTCTCTCTCGTTACTTTCTTCTCTTGCTTTGTGCGCTAAACAGAGGGAGTGTGGCAGCAACTCGAATTGCTGCATATCTGTGTACATTTAGTTCTACGTTGAAACCAATCAGTCAGTCAGCAATGGTTTACCTACATCACTACAATAAACAACTAGTTATTAGAGTGAGAACACGAAAATGTAAGGAATTGCATTTTGAAAGATAATAATATTAATAATAATAATAACAACAATAATAATAATAGTTAACAAGTACGAGATATTACCATGATAGATTCAAAATGTACACATAAACTGGGTTTATAGACCCAAAAATGGAAAAAGCATTTGTACTGCGCATGCATCCCTAGCCATTACCTCCCCCGACGGGGAATGTTGAAACCAGTCAGTAAGTCATTCAGTCAGTAACAGCGTCGATCTCATGATGAGTAGTCTGTAAGATGACTCAGACAAAGTAGACTTCTCGCAATTCCACTGACGCCAGAGCCAAGGCCTAAAGACTACTCGTAGAGGTGCACACCAGCTACTGATAGACAGCTTTAAGAAACCATACAGGTACAGGTAAAAGAAAACAATTGTTTTTCGTGAAATCCATCGTTACGAAAAGGGTACTTGATCTTCTGATCTGTAAACTGCCTGCCTTTTTACAACGCTATATTCATTCGTGAGGTCGTCTAGGACTTCAGCAAGAGCCAGTGAAGCCTAATAGCTTGCTTTGAATGCTATCCATGCATACTAAACGTGTGACCATCATGCCTAGGTCAAACATACTCTTTAGCTGCCCCCTCCCAAAAATGAATAATAAGACTCGGTTGCTAGGGAGTTACAAACAAGGAAGAGGTGTTAAACATTTCTGAACAGATATAATCTAGTTAATAATCTAGATAATCAATAATTTTTTCTAACTTACTTGAGCTTGAATCCTCGAGTTTCATTGAAGTTCCCTGTGTTTCTTGACAATCCGGTGGAGGTAAAGAGGCTTGTTGTTGTTGTTGTGGTTGTAGACTAGATGCTGGTGGAGCTGATGTCGGTGTACGTGCAGAACTAGGCGTAAGTGGAGCACCAGAAGTTGAACTACTACTCCCTGAACTACCAATTCCACTAATACCACCACCGCAACCATGACCACCAGAGAAGGCTGGTGAAGCACTTTTTGGTCCACTGGCACTCAGGCTAACAATATTATTATTATTATTCAATTGTAATTTATCATTTTCAACTGAGGATAAACTTGTCAATTTGTGATGATTATTATGACCTAGTTGACGTCTTCGCAGCTCGGCTAATTCATTCAATTCTTTAGTACGTAGATAATTTGAATCGAGTTCAGTGTTTGGTGCATGCAGTTCCATAGCATCAAGACTTTCTTTAACTAATTCAAAGAGATCTTGTTTCAAGAAACAGTGTAAATCGTATTCTTTCTCGTTACGACTTAATGACATGATAAATGCAAGCCATTGATCAGCTGTTGGACCGACTACAACATCCCATTGTGAGGATATTCCGCTTTGAGGACGTTCACGGTACAGGCGTAAATCTAGTACGGATAAAATAAATAATGAAAACAAAAGAAATTAAATCTCATCCAATCACGTAATAATAATAATAACATGAATTGTGATAACAAGTTTGAGACGACACACAAGCTGACATCAGCTACAGAAACCCAATTGAAGAACCAAGCAGTTATTAACAGATGTTTCGTCCTAGTTCGGGATTCTTCGTCTGTGAAAAATCGCAACCAACAGAGCCCATCAATTCAGAGAAGAAAATAGGTTACTTGTCTGTGACATCGGCTTGTGGTTGTGCTATACATATGTATATTGCGAATTGGCAGAAGTTGGAAATCACAGGGCATTGGATTGGTTCCCTCCCCCCACAAGTGGTTGAATGGTCTAAAAGCTCACCTTGTAACCAGAAGGTCCTGGGGTTCAAACCGCTGGAGTGTCGGAAACTCGGATGAAACAGATGTCCAGCGCTTCCTCGCCTTCCTTGACGGGCAATCTTAACTGACATAGCATTGGTCAGGTTGGAAAAGAGCTGGTGGTGATGGTGGTCAAACGAAAGCATGGCTTCATCAGTCAATGAAATCCACAAAAGTTAATTTAAGTCAGCCAGTCACGTCGAGGGTGTAGACTGGCTTCCTGGTTAGGGTCCTATGGATGGTAAAAACCAATGTTTGGAGACAATGGATGGTGATATGGCTCAAAGTGATCGTTGTCAATGGCTGGTGCGGATGCATTCACTAACTCCTTGTGACTTGCCAGTCATATCCAATCAGGCTCTATTGTTTTTCCCCTCACTCACATAAATAAGAGAGAATATAAGTCATCTACAGTTATACCATATAAGAAGGGGACATCCGATACCCTATATAGGATTCCTAATAAAGCAGGTATTAGGGTGGCATTTAAACCTATAAAACACACTCAGGCAGGACAAGCTATGTAAGTTAAAGGACCCAGTTGATCCAATATAATTTACAGAATACCCTGCAATGACTGTGAGTGAGGTCAACTACATAGGTCAGACTAGTAGGTCGAGGGTAGTCAGATTGTTAGAACATAAGAATTTAGGTTAGGGAAGAATGGTTGACCCAGAGGAGATAAGTAATTAATAAAAAAGCTCAACACTACATTGCACTGCATACATTAGCACACAACCAAACAATAGGGTGGGAGAGGGTTAAAATTCTAAGAAGTAATCTAGGTAGTTGGAGAGAGAGGATGATTACTGAATCCTGCCTAATTCGTCGAGTCTACACCTAACACATGCAATAGGAATGACTCATCACTCATACCAGAAATATGGAAAATACTACTACCAATCAAATCAAACGATGAAAAATAATGGAATTATATAAACGAAGTTAGAAAGTTGTGTGAGTACCTTTGCATATGATTATGAGCAGCAATAAATTGTGCTCGAAACGTCATCAGTAAACATTACTGTATAACACTGTGAGACTTTATCAAAACAAAATTTACCCATAATGGAATCACACTCTACCACAGTGCACAAGTTTTATTCTTATATCAATGATACACTCACACTTCTGTCTATTATCTCTCTATCTTTTGAATATCTCTTTACTTTTTCCTTCTTCCTTTGTGTGCTACATGGAGGGAGAGTGGTAACCCGAAATGCTGCAACATCTATGCAAAGCTCCATATTGAAACCAGTCAGTCAGTCCCTCGTTTTCCAATGACCTCTCTCTAATTGATATCAGATCGTCATTGAAACCTTTAACAACAGGAATGTTAAACTGTCAAATAATGCCGAAGCCTATTAGGTGAAGTACGGATTACCCCCTGTAACTGTCGGCATCCTAATGAAAATACTTTAGGCCTATAATCTCAGAAGGAAGACACCGCTCCCACCTCCTCCTTTTAGATGTGCAACTTTGGAGAAAAACTTACAGAAAGACAGAAACTTCATCGAATTTCTTCCTCTTACAAGAATCTGCCAACTACACGCAAGAAAGACACATTAATAAGTAGAGAGAGAGAGAGCTGGAGCCTTTCCGAAACACTCTGATTTAAAGTGGTTATTATCGACTGGCATTCATTCAACAATAAAGAGATAAATAATAAGACTGATAATCCAGAAAAGACAAAAGTATCAAAGAAAAAGTTAGTGGTAAGTAAACCAAGAGTTTAAAGGTGACACACAACAACTGAAATTCTTCAAAGCAGTTCGGAAAGTATGCTTTGCCCCATGCCTACACTTCTCACACTCTCCACAAAAATGTTTCCCTTCTGGCAACATCAACTCGTTCACTCCTGTGGAATTAAGTATACATGCCGTGCAGTTTACGCCATCTCTGGCTAAGTAGACGTGATATCCGGCTGACTGTCAACCAAAGGGCAGGTGTACTGCTATTCAGTCCGCTCCACCCTCCTTAATGGCTGTGAGTGTGAGACCTGCCCATTGAGAGTGGAAGACATGAAAAGCCTGGATAGCTGTCTTTGATCATAGGTGTCTGTGTTCCAACTCCCGTGCGAAGTGGTATAATAAGGTGAGCAATATTGAGGTTAGGAGTCGAGTGCTAGATGTAGGTGGGTGGGGTTGTGAAGCTACATCGACTGAGATGGTTAGGACATGTGTTACGCATGCATCCCTAGCAATCGCCTTCCTCGACATCAGCCTTCTGGACAACATCCCTTTTCAGCGCAATTTTTTAGCATAAAGTCAACTGTTTTAAATTTTCCATAAGTGAATGAGAATCCAGGGACATGATATATATTCCTGTTTCATATCAATGCATGTAGATAATTATGGACATGAATTTGATGATTGGGATAATGTCGAGATTTTAAACAGAGGAAACACCAAAAGTGTACTGCCATGGAATTCCTAGAAGCCTGGTACTCAAGTGAATCAACCAGCGATTAACAAAGATGCTAATATAGACGAAATATACCAACTAATAAAAAGTAAATCACATGTGACGAGAAAGTTTAAAATCCAAGTCAATAATATAAATGATCAACACATATGTAAAGATAGTTACCAGAAGACGCAATTCTATCACTCTTAGAAAATTTAAATCTGTTCACTTTATGCTAAAAATTGCGCTGAACGGGGATGTTGTCCAGAAGGACAGCTTTGATAAAGTGAAGTCACGAAAAATAGAGGATATTCTTTGCAAAATTATGTCAATGCTAAAGTGACTACTTAATTCTTTTCTTGTAGAAATATCTATTACAAAATATACCAACACAACCGTCGATTATACACGAACACACACACACACCCGGTCATTATAGAAAATTTTTTTACTTTGGTTGACACTGTATATATATACACAGTGTTGTTGTTAAAGTGGTCAATATACAACAAAACAATCACTGCAAACAATCCTATGATTGAGGTATGCGCTCTTGTCTGTCTATCTATCTATCCATCTATCATCAACACACACACACTCATTAAACTATGCATATACCATGTGAATATTATTCAAGGTATGAAGAGCAATCCTAAGAAATAAACAAAATATAATTACGAGTTGATCACGGACTGATATCAGCTAGAGAACCATTGAAAACCAGGGAGTACTGGACAGCTGCTGTTTCATCCTAGTTTGGGAATCATCGGCAGTACGCACCCACTGGGATTCGAACCCGGGACCTTCCGGTTACAAGGCAAGCTCGTATACCATTCGGCCACTGGGACCCGATTCAATGGCTCATGAATTCTAACTTCTACCAATTCGTGATTTTAGCGCGACCCCAACTATTGTCGTTGGTGGAAATCCATCCACACGTGACTTCTAATTGGACCTCACTGGTCACGACTTCTCACTAGAACTGCAGGAAACTCCAACCTGTAGCAAGTCACTAGCGAGCATCAGAATGAGATGATTCCCAAACTAGGATGAAACAGCAGCTGTCCAGTACTCCCTGGTTTTCAATGGTTCTCTAGCTGATATCAGTCCGTGATCAACTCGTAAAACATAACTAATCCTTACAAACCAAATTATAGAAAATATAATTAAGTAATCCTTATAGAACTGCAAGTAAAAGGCTTGTGTATAGTGTGTGCGTTTCAATCACGTAAGACTTAACACACACACACACACACACAGAGTCGTTTTAACAAGCGAAAGACGCAAATAGTTTTGGTGTGAATGCAGGAACATAAGGATCAACGATCCCAGACAATTTACAGTGTTCTCCTGCCCCTCCTCGGTGCATAGTTCACTAAACTTCTGTGAACCATAAAGCTTTGAGCTTTGAAGTTGAGGTTAGTGGCTATGACTTCGCTACAGGCTCATACTCCTAGCCTAATATTCCCTCTTAACCGAGCTTACGATTGAGGCTAAGCACGGTTTAGGAGTGTGCATCAGCCAAAGATCGAACAGTGGACAATGTACGACGTCGTGGTTAGCAAGTATTCAACCTAATCCTAACCCTAACACAATGTCGAAACAGTGCTCAAAAACTTGATATGGGTGAAATTTGCTGCTTAGCTGGTGAATGGCGTTGATATTTCAACTATGATAATGACAGGTGCCATTAGCCAACGACTAGCATGTGTTTAAGGTCACTGGAGCGCTATTGCTGAACTTCGCCTTCAATGAATTAATAAGCCATAAACTTCAACCCCCACAAATGTTGTATTATACATGTTAAGACTTTAAATAAAAATGACTAAGACAACAATCAATGAGAATTTTTCAAGACTGGTTTGTAAGGATTAGATTTGTTTTTACGACGGGTTTGACCACGGATTAATATCAGTTAGAGAACCAGTGAAAACCACCATGGAGTACTAGACAGCGGTTTCATCTTAGTTTGCAAATCATCGGCAGTACGCACCCACCACCAAAGTTCACACCCAAAACCTTCCGGTTAAAAGGCAAGCTGGCCCGTATACCATTCAGCCACTGGGACTCGATTCAATCAATGACCAGCCAATGAATTCTAACTTCTACCAATTCGTGAATTTTAGCGCGACCACCAAACAATGTCATCAGTGGGACATCCATCCTCACTTCCGACTGGATGGACCTCAACTGGTCACAACTTCTCA